TTCCGCGTGCTTTGAGCACGACGATGCCTTGCGCGCTTGCGCGCAGGCGCGTGTTGTTTGCCACAGTGACGTAAGTGACGGCAGGGGTGGCGACGGCGTTGGATATGTAACGCTCGGAGCCCACCATATGCTGGCCGCAGCAGCTGTCCAGGTACCAGGTGTTGTAGCGCTTGTTGTCGTCACGTGCGAGCAGCGCCAGTCGCGGCGTGACGATGTGCGGAGTGTCGAACTTCAAAAATTGTTCGCGCGTGAGCCAATCGAGTGGCGCCACCCGCATATCCGGTACGTGCAGGGGGACTTTCAAGCAGCGGGACTGGAAGATTCCAGTCCTGGTCGTCGTCGTCGGTGAAGTCGCGGCGCGGACTAAACGGGTTGTTGTTGGTGAACGCGCCAATTGGGTGCGGTGCCGGCTCAGGTGACGGTGAGCGAACGCGGCGACGACGCGACTCGCCTGTCATGGCCATGCTGCTCATGACGTTGCGAACTGGGGCAGTCGAGGACGGCTGCTGCTGCTGATGCTGAACCGCTGGGTTCAGGTTGCGCGCGAGAGGGGGCTGATACCCTTGGGCTGGACGCACGTCGCCTCGTGCGTCTTGACGGCCGGACCAGGTGCTCAAATTGGTCTGGCGAGGGCGAGATCGGTTCTTGCATCGATCCGCCAGATGCCCGAAATTTCTGCAGATCTTGCAGTAGAGGCGCCGTGGCTTTCGCTCTTCGGTGTTGTCGGCGTAGAAGGCGAGCCGTTCGCGTTCTCGTCGCGGCGCTGGTCGCTGCTGGTCCATATCCCTTTGTTCAATGAGAAGGGCGGCGCAAAGGGCGGCCTCCGAGATGACCCCCTGCTGTCGGAGTGACGCCTTGCAGGGCCGCCACTCTGGGCCAAGCCCTTGAAGCACGATGTTGACGAAGATCTCCTCTGAAATCGTGCTTCCCAGCTTCACGATTTGGTCGCGAAGGCTCCGACAGCGGTTAAGATAATTGTTGACCTTCTCCCCTGCGGTCATCTTAGTTTCCAGGAGTTCCTGGAGTAGTCGGCTCGAAGAGACAGAGTCCTTGGGCTGGTAGACTCCTGTCAGGTGCCGCCAGGCGTTAAGGGCTGGAGCAGCCGAAGTTTTGTAAGAACGAATGTTGAGCTGCTCCGCCGCCGACATGTTCCGCAGGAGCACCCCGTACGCCATCAGCGACTCGTTGTAATACCGCGCCTTGGCGTCGTCGGTGTCCTCAGCAGGCTCCGCGTAGCTCCCGTCGAAATAGTGGAAGATCTGGGCGTTCTGAAGCAGGAGCTCCAGCCAGAAGCTCCAGGTGTAAAAGTCTCTGCCGTCAAAACAGGTACTTGTCTTTATTTTTGATATGCTGAGGAACCTTGATTGAGCGGAGAGAATTGCCTCTTCACTGGGACGGGGAGTCTTGGGGGTTGATGTCAGAATGAGGAATGGATGGTGCATTGATGTTGGTTGGGGTACATATAGCTAACCCTAAGTTTTGTACCCCCTAAGACAAACCTCACTATAGGCTACAACATTTGACACACCCCCATAGCCTAAGTGAGGGGTGTCTAGCAGAACCAAACGAGTACGGTCACAAGACCAGTCCAAGAAACAAGGCTCAGGGTGGATCACAACGTCACCACACAGTCTGAGCACAAACAACAGTGGCCACAAGGCCAGTCCAAGAAGTAACAGAGATATATAGAAAGCAAAGTAAACAGTACACTCAAGTCTAAGCAACACGAGAACCAGTGTCAACAAGGCCTAACTGCACACAGCACCTCTGGTGGTCACAAGGCGGAAGCGCCTTGGTGAAGATGTCTGCAATGTTGGCCTCGGACTCCACAAACTCAAAGCGAGCCTGTCCACGCCTCTGCAACTCTCGCAGAAGAAAGTACCTGACGTGAATGTGCTTCACTCTGCTCTCCAGTCGTGGCTCTCGACAAAGGAGAATAGACGCCTTGTTGTCAGTGAACAAGGTCGGTGCAGAGCTCGGCCGCTCACCAAGGTCGGTGAGCAAGAAGGTCAACCAACGCAGCTCCTGTGCCGCCATGGCACCAGCGTAGATCTCAGCCTCAGCTGTAGAGGTCGAGACCGAAGAGGAGCGCGTGGACCGCCAGGAAACAGCTCCAGAACCCAGGCTGAAACAGTACCCCTGAGTAGACCTGTGAGTCTCAGCGTCTGGTCTTAGGTCTCCCGCGTGTCTTGCCGTCGCTGCCGCCGTCCCTTGCACCACCGTGCGGTCCTTGCGTCGAGGGTAGGCTGCGTGCCACCCCTCACTCCTCCTCCCTTCGTCCGGCCACCGAGCCTTTTGAGACGCTGCACTTGGACGTCTGGGGCCCCTCTCCTCGCCTTGGCCCTGAGCGTGAGCGTTTCTTTTTTGTGGTCGTTGACGACTACTCCCGCTACACCACAGTGTTCCCCCTGGCGAGGAAGTCTGAGGTGACTTCTACGCTCATCAGGTGGTTGCTCACCACCCAGGACACTCGTGGTCGTCGTGTCAGCTGTCTCCACTCCGACCGCGGGGGCGAGTTTCGCTCCGGCATTCTCGCTGGATTCTGTCGCGAACAGGGCATTCGTCAGTCCTGGACGCTTCCGGAGTCCCCACAGCAGAATGGGGTTGCTGAGCGTCGCATAGGCCTGGTCATGGAGATTGCCCGCACCTCCTTGACTCACGCCCGTGCCCCCCATTTCCTGTGGCCATACGCAGTCAGGTACGCCGCGCACCAGCTGAACCTCTGGCCACGCGTCTCTCGGCCGGAGGCTTCACCGACCAGTCTTTGGACAGGGTCCCCTGGTGTCGCGTCGAGGTTTCGTGTCTGGGGGTGCTTGGCTCTTGTCCGCGACACCTCCGCGGACAAGCTCTCGCCTCGCGCCGTTCCTTGTGTCTTCCTTGGTTTCCCTGAGGACTCCTCTGACTTCACCTTTTACCACCCACCCTCTCACCGGTTCTTTGACTCCCGTGACGTCTTTTTCGAGGAGTCCACCCCCTACTACGTCAGGTACCCCTGTCGAGGTCTCCCGGTCCCTCCCCCCCCTCTCTTCCTGACCGCCGCTCCCCCGCCTGCTCCCCCGGTACAGCCTCCCCCCCCTGGTCCAGCCCCGTCTGGTGTGTCTCAGGCTAGCCCTCCCCCTTCGGTAGCCCCCCCTGTACAGCCTCCCTCCCCACAGTCTTCCTCGCCGCCTCCTGCAGGTGCTCCCTCTCGAGAGGTTGGTCCTGCGACTGTCCCTGTACAGGTCTCTGGTTCTGGGGGTGCTGGAGTTGGAGCATGGCACAGAGATGAGGGGAAGCGGCCGCCAGGAACTCTAGCTCAAACTGCCTGTCCTCTATGGCGTCACAGCCAAGGGCAGACAGTTGAGCCATTGGTGTCGAGGGAGAATGTTTGCGGGGTGGCGTTCTGGCCAGTCGGGGCCGGTTGAGAGGGTTGCGAGGATGTTCCCGCATCGCCATTCCGCAATGTTTGGAGCCCTTGCTCCAAGCTGGTGAGTCGCTGAAGAAGTTGTGCGAGAACTTCGGAGTTGATTGTCGTCGTGTTCTCGCTTGTCGCAGCCGGGTTGGGTTGCGCTTCAGCCGTCAGATTAGTCTGACCACCAGATCCTCCGGCCATCTTCACTCGTGAACGTGTGCCGGACGCCACTTTCCGAATGTCGCAATTTTCGGGAGTGGCAGTGCGAAGGATTCCCGAGCTGCTCTCATACCATGCTGCGATCAGAAGTTGATCGTGGCCTAGGATCTACTCAGGAAGGTTCGCACGCAGTGAGATAGTTTGGTGGGCCCTTGATCTCAATAGCAGAGTGAATGTAAAATGCTTGAGATGAATAAAACATGCAAACAAGGTGATATAAATAAGAGTACAATGGAATACGAAAAGACCTAACTAGCCATGTACTCTAAGGGGTACATTCCCTTATTCAAATGCATTCCCAACCGTGCGGCGCGTACAGTTTCGTAACTGTTCCCGCCAAAACCACCTTGCCTGCAGCTGCCCGATGCCGTCTGCTCCGACGGTCCAGATGCGTCCCAACTGTCTGACGCTTCGAGTCAATTCCAACCGTCTGACGCTTCGCGTTCATTCTCGTTACTGCGTGCTTCTCTTTGCTGCGGTGAGGAGTGCACAGTAATATCAAATGTTACTATTCGTAACAGCTATATTATGCCTAGGCCTCGTCATTTGCTCAGTAGTTGAATCACTTCCGTGATATTGCATTCTTCCTGCTTACTCTTCTTTCGTACAACTCATACCAATATGTATGCCCTAAATTTAGTGATATCCTCGCTACTGTAACATCATGGCACAACTGCCGTCCTCGGAGCTGTCTGCGCACCCGTGAGCATTTTCATTCCGCCCCCATCCGCCCTCGCTCACCAGTTGTTACCCTACCCACCCCTCGCTACATATTTCCGAATCCATTTGATTTGTTTTGTTGTTCCTTTCAGCAACCGCCTCGCACTGCGCGATGGCATCATTATCTCATGGATCCCATAGAAGCGTGTCTACGCAGCGTTCGAAACAGTTGCGTGATTTCCGTGCTAGAAGAAGAAGAGCATGGGCCAACTTCCCTGCCGTCCTCCTCGCGTGTCTCCTCCTCGCGTGTCTCCTCCTCGCCCCCCGCCATGCGCGCTGCGCTACCACGCCATCGCGCGGAGCCCGCGCGCGCACGGCAGCGCGCAGGTTGCAAGGGGAGGAGCACGCTATGTCACTGTATCGGGTGCGTTTCCCCGGATATCCCCCCACCAACTCACCCCGTAATTCCTGGCGTCCCTCCCCACTCCCACCGTCTCAACCGCCGCACGCCGTGTGTTCCCAGCTCCTGCCGTCCGCGCATCCCAACCATTTTCCGACGTTTTAGGCGCGTCAAAAGTCGTCTCGTGCCGTCCTCGCCTCCACGCCCTTCTCCGTCCCCGTGCGTTCGTCCATACCGTGTCACCCGCGCGCATCGTACCCACATTCCTCTTCCCCGCCCCCTGCGCCACGCATTCCCGCTTTTCCCCCACTCGCCCCCTTCCTCTGCGCCATGGCGTGCGCAAGCGACCTCTCTTCCGCCCTTCCGACCTATCATCCCCGTCTCCCACCCAACCACTCACTCCTTTCCCTCTCCGCTCCTCCCCCGCCACCCTCCCTGCCGCCTTTCCGCCTCCACTCCGTCTCATTTTCCCCCTCGCGCGCCTCGTCCTTCCCCCAGGCGTGGGAGGACGCCTACGGGTTGTCGTCCCCCGCGCTGCTGCCGCCGTCGCCGCTCGTGCTGCCAGCGCACGTGCCGGAGGCGCCGCACCTGGTGGACTGCGCGGCGAGCGTGGCGCTCCGGGAGCGAACAGAGGCGGACGAGGAGGGGAGGGCCGCGCCGTGGAGTGGCGCGGATGGGTGCGACGCGCGACCCGCATGGGTACCATTGGGGGGCATGGAGCGTGTGGGGGGGGAAAGGGATCGGGGAATGGGGATTATGCGAGCATGGAGTTGGGGCATGGCGGTGGTTGCTGCTGCGCTAGCGCGTCCTCATCCCCGTCGTGTCGGAGGTGCACTGTGTCGACACTGTACAGTGTGACTGTGACTGCACCACGCCTCGTGCTCCAGCGGTCGTACGCCCACCGCGGGTCGCCACCGTACTTCTCACTCACCCCCCTCGCCATGTGCGCGCGCACCTCCCTGCGCGCCCCACCAGGTGCGCGGCCCCTCCAGTGCGAGTGCGCCCATGACGCGCCGCGTGCAAGCAGACATTTGGCGCCACCAGTTCCCGCGCGGCCCCTGTGACTCGCACCGCCTGCTGCTCGTCGACTGGTGCCTCCTGCGCTCCGCGCCCTCCTCCTCCCCTGCTGGCGCTGGCGGGGCGGAGTGGGATGCGCGGGGCAGTGCGGGGGCGTGGAAGGAGGGCATGGCGTGGCGGGTGCAGGGCATGGCGGCGCTGCTGGGCGTGGCCATGGCGCACAACCGCACCCTCGTGCCCCTGCCCCGCTCCTTCCCTGCTGCCTCCGCCAAGCCCTGCTCAGGTGCGCTCGTGGCAGGCGGGGGAGGAGATTTGATGAGGTCTAAACTGTCTCATGGACAACGGCTGCCGCATTTTGCCTTTCTTCTTATCTATACGTTCATGCATGCTGTGTGCGGCAAGCTCACTCACCACTCGCCAGCCCGCCTTCCTCTTGGTCCTGTCACGGCTCCCTTCTCTTCACGCCATCAAGGTCCCTTTTCCCCTCTCTCCCCTTTCTCCCCTCTCTCCCCTTTCTCCCCTCTCTCCCCTTTCTCCCCTTCTCCCCTTCTCCCCTTTCTCCCCCGTCTCTCGCATCTCCCCCTTTTCCCTTTTCTCCCCCTTCTCCCCCTTCTCTTCCTTTTTCCCTTTCTCCCCTTTCTCCCCCTACTCCCCCTTCTCCCCATTCTTTCCCGTGTCCCCTTTTCCCCCTTCTCCCCCTTCTCCCCGTTCTCCCCCTTCTCCCCTTCTCCCCCTTCTCCCCCTTCACCAGAGCAACAGCAGGAGGCGGACTGGGCGTGTTTCTTTGCGCCCATCACATCATCCGCGTGTGCGGCGTCAGCAGCAGCGCGCATGGCGGGCAAGTGCACGGGCAGTGCGGACGTGGAGGGCGCAGCCAAGGGCGCGGACGACGTGGTGTGTGTGGGGGAGGGCGCGGATGGGGATGCGCTGCTCACCCACGTGGACGTCAGGTGGGGGGGGAAGAGGGGGAGCGGAGGGGTGGGTAGGGGCAGGATTCGGGGGGTTGAGGGCAGGGCAGGAAAGGGAGAGCGAGTGGGAGGAATGATACTAGGCGTTGCCCAGTTCATGGACGTGTGTGCTGCGCGGTTCGCACTTGGCCTTTGAATTCATGTGACATGGACGCATGGAAAGTGGTACCGGCGTTACACACTTGTTTGCAATGAAGCAATGTCAGTAGGTATCCTCCCTGCTGCCATACCACGCATGTTCGTGTGCAGCCGGTGGGGCAACCCTCACAAGGAGGGTGCATACTCTCTTCTGGAGAATGATGAAGCCACAAGTGTAAACGACACACAGCTTAAGGTGCATTGCTCACCTCCTTCACCTCATACAGCACCACATGTCTAACCTATCCTCCTCTTCTTCCCACTCCTCTTCGAACTCAGTTGTCCCCACTGCCATCCACCTCTCAATTCGTTTCGCATCTGTTGCCAGCCTCCCATCACATCCCTCTCGTTTTCCCATGTCTTCCGCCCCCCTCACCCGCCGACATCAGGCGAACTGGTGGCGAGCGCAGGCAGTGCGCTTCCTGCTGCGCTGGCCGTCGCTGCACCTGTGCCACGTGGGCAACATGCAGCGCCATGCAGCGCTGGGCATGCATGCAGCAGCGCGCCTTGCAATCTTCACAGGGGACCAGGCCAACCTGCTGCACTCCGTCTCTGCCAAGGCTGCTGCTGCCGCTGCTGCCAAGGCAGGGGCAGGGGACCCCGCACAGGCTTACTTTAACATGAGCCGTGAAGCGGAGGAGATGCACCGTGTGATTGAATCCAAGGGTCCAGATCTGCGCACTGAGGTGTGGGTGGCAGCTGATCAGCATATCCCTCTGAGCAACTTTACATGTGCGGTTGCCGCTGCTGCTGCTGCTGCAAATGATACCACTGCTGCTGCTGCTGCCGAAGCTGCCGCTGCTGCTGTTGGTGCCGCTGCTGCTGCAGCTGCAGCTGCCGCTGCTTCTGCAGCTGTTGCTGCCTCTGCTTCTGCGGCTACTGCTGCCGCTGCTGCTGCTGCTGCTGCTCCTGCTCCTGCTCCTGCTCCTGCTCCTGCTTCTGCGCCTGCACCTGCACCTGCTGCAGAGGTGCCTAGAGTGAACGAGTTATACGAGAAGGATTTGCTGCAGCTTGCAGCAGAGCCATACATGGTTCGACCAATCACAGGCGTCCACATGTCCAGTGCCTTGTTAGGCCTTTCAAATCCCAGTGGTGTGGGGGTGACAGCAGCAGGCGTGGATGAGGCATCAGCAGTGAGTGGAGTGTTCATGTTTCATGTGAATCGAATGAGGCGCTACTCCCTTGACATGCGCCATGTGTGGATGGACACCGACTCACAGGTCAGCTCCCTCTCCCCCCTCACCGTCTTCTATGGTATTCTGTTTCTTGCAAGATGCACTCATGTGCGGTGCATGTGGCATCGCATTGGCTTGTGCACTGCTCTGCACCATCACTCATGCGCTGTGCTTTTTTGTGCCATCCCCCCTGCAGCCCTTCTTTGATGCAGTGCTCGCTTTCTCTGACTTCACAATCCTGCACTCGCGGCAGCACCAGCAGTCTGAAGCAGCTGGTGGTGGCAACAAAGGCGGGGAAGTGACAGCAGCACACCACCTGGCGCACCTCATCATGTCGTCACAGTGTGACCGCTTTGTTGGCTCACTCTCGTCTCGCTGGACACAGCTTATCCACGACCTCAGATGCACCAATGGACGAGCATACGCAGGAGATGTTGCTGTTTCCTTGGATTGATGCCTAAGGTGAACCTTTGATGCGCTCCCTCAAAGTGGCCCCTTTTCCCAACCTGCTGTTCAGCTTTGCAAACGGGAATGTGACAACAACTGCTGGGTTGTGAGGGCAATGTTTGTGTTGTGTAGTTGTTGTGTCGAGGTTGATTATTGTTCTCATTTTCCACTTCCAAGAGGATAAACGGGGAGTAAACAGCAGTACCATTTTCCCCAATAACGCTAAGCGAGCCTATAATGTGGTGTGGAGGGCATGGATGCTGGATGCACTTACGGAATAATGGAATAAATTGAAAATGGCATGGGACAAAACCAGTACACTAATTGTACCGCTGCTAATGCGCATAGATAAGATGGTATGCGTCTGATAAGAGCATGGGAGATGGGAGCAACGAACCAGGGTGGTAGTGGGCTCGCAAGAAATGGTCACCACGTTTCCCCCAGATGGTCGACATGGCGAGAAGTTGCAGGTGTAGGGAGGTTTGGTGAAACCACTGATCGGAGCAGGTACTCCAGTGGTTATGTCTGTTTGTGGCTTGTAAGGATGAGGTTCTGGTGCGCGCAACGGAATCATTTTTGCAGTGTGAACACCGAAGTTTAATGTGAAGTGCCTGTGTAGCTATTGTGGCGACCCACTTGTTTTCACTAAGCAGATCAACAAACAGGCCACAAAAATCTATTTGCTTTAGCTCGCGAGGGGATCGCCAACACATAGTATAGATTGGCAGATGCTGCAGATAGTCAACACATGTTCAGTTTGAATACCTACCTTCCTGCAAACTGCTATCACTGGAGCTGTAATAATATTAACTACAATTTACATCAAAAGTAAATGGTAACCCCAATCACGGGGGCCTGCTGAACCTCCGCATGAGGACAGCTTGGCAGTATATAAGAACTTAACCGGTTACTGTTAGTGTGTAAGAGATTCAGGAAAATAGAGGTTACTCTCCCCAATCTTGGACAGGAGCACGGTGAGAAGCCACTGCAAAACAAGGCACAAGAGTCAGTGAACGTCAGTCTCAGTTCCGGAGCATACCCCATTATCAAGAATTGGAGAGGCAAGAAGGACGTACCATGAATATGGTGCAATCCTGCTGCGACGATAACAATCGCTGCACACCAAGAGGAGAAGGCAAGAGCGCCTACAACAGCGACGCATTTCGTTACAACGACACCAGGAACGAACCCTCCTAGCAGCACTGCACCGACGTCCCACATGTGACCGGAATCAAAACGTCTCCGAACACCGTACGGGCCTTCCATTGCTTCCATCGTGTTTGCGTGCAACCGTAGCGAGGTGAATAACTTATACTAGGCGAGAATGAGACCATGAGCGTGGATGGAATTCACTAACCCAAACAGTGCCACGAGGTTCTCATATATGGTGGAACTAAATGGTGGACGAGGATCATTTAGGAAACACCTTCCGCGCTGCGGCAGCACAGGGAAGCTAGCGAAGCACTACATCCAACTCGAGTGACTCACTGCCGTGGTGATGCCTCCTGAATTCCATCAAAAACTTGCAACGCCGGGTCGTGTGCCTCAGCAGGACTCATGGTTCAGTTGGACAGCCCTCAATTTGCGGCGTGCTCTCGGTAATTTGACGAGAGGTCGGGTTCGAATGTTGGAGAGCAGACTTGCACCGCACTGGCCAAGCCACGTCCTCCTGCAGTTCGTTTCGTTTTTGTGGGCCGCGGAACTTCCGCTCCGCACCCTCCAAGGTTGGTGTATGTGTCAGCTGAACCTGCGCGCAAGGAAAGTCACATCCACCAAGATTCTGCATTGCCGGGGCGCTTTTTCCGTTTCACTAATTGGCAAACACGCAAAAGAGTTCCAGAGATTGTGGACCCGCTTTCTCAAAATCCATTTGAACAGCAAGCACCCAATCAGTACAGATTCAGAAATTAGTGAGTTCTGAGTCTTTACAATAACGTTCAAAAGATTTTACATGAAAGCAATTGCTAATGGGTAAAGAGTGGAATGGAATGAGCAAGCGAAGATTGCACCAAGTGGGTCAAACATTACATTGTGAGCGGAAACATGAGCACACAACTGTTACGAATAGTAATATTTGATATTACTGTACACTCCTCACCGCAGCAAAGAGAAGCACGCAGTAACGAGAATGAACGCGAACCGTCAGACGGTTGGAATTGACTCGAAGCGACGGACAGTTGGAACGCATCTGGACCGTCGGAAGCAGACGGCATCGGGCAGCTGCAGGCAGGATGGTTTTGGCGGGAACAGTTACGAAACTGTACGCGCCGCACGGTTGGGAGTGAATTGAATAAGTGAATGTACCCCTTAGAGTACATGGCTAGATAGGTCTGTTCGCATTCCCTTGTACTCTTATTTATATGACCTTGTTTGCATGTTTTTATTATCTCAAGCATTTACATTCACTCTGCTATTGAGATCAAGGGCCCACCAACTATCTCACTGCGTGCGAACCTTCCTGGGTAGATCCTGGGCTACGATCAATTTCTGATCGCAGCATGGTATGAGAGCGGCTCAGGAATCCTTCGCACTGCCACTCCCGAAAATTGCGACATTCGGAAAGTGGCGTCCGGCACACGCTCACGAGTGAAGATGGCCGGAGGATCTGGTGGTCAAACTAATCTGACGGCTGAAGCGCAACCCAATCCGGCTGCGACAAGCGAGAACACGACGACAATCAACTCCGAAGTTCTCGCACAACTTCTTCAGCGACTCACCAGCTTGGAGCAAGGGCTCCAAACATTGCGGAATGGCGATGCGGGAACATCCTCGCAACCCTCTCAACCGGCCCCGACTGGCCAGAACGCCACCCCGCAAACTTTCTCCCTCGACACCAATGGCTCAACCCCCAAGACTCCCCGTCCCAGTGAAGAGGCAATTCTCTCCGCTCAATCAAGGTTCCTCAGCATATCAAAAATAAAGACAAGTACCTGTTTTGACGGCAGAGACTTTTACACCTGGAGCTTCGAGCTGGAGCTCCTGCTTCAGAACGCCCAGATCTTCCACTATTTCGACGGGAGCTACGCGGAGCCTGCTGAGGACACCGACGACGCCAAGGCGCGATATTACAACGAGTCACTAATGGCGTACGGGGTGCTCCTGCGGAATATGTCGGCGGCGGAGCAGCTCAACATTCGTTCATACAAAACCACAGCTGCTCCAGCCCTTAACGCCTGGAGGCACCTGACGGGAGTCTACCAGCCCAAGGACTCCGTCTCTTCGAGCCGACTACTCCAGGAACTCCTGGAAACCAAGATGACCGCAGGGGAGAAAGTCAACAATTACCTTAACCGCTGTCGGAGCCTTCGCGATCAAATCGTGAAGTTGGGAAGCACGATTTCCGAGGAAATCTTCGTCAACATTGTGCTTCAAGGGCTCGGCCCAGAGTGGCGGCCCTGCAAGGCGCTTCTTCGACAGCAGGGGGTCATCTCGGAGGCCGCCCTTTGCGCCGCCCTTCTCGTCGAACAGAGGGATATGGATCAGCAGCGACCAGCGCCGCGACGAGAACGCGAACGGCTCGCCTTCTACGCCGACAACACTGAAGAGCGAAAGCCACGGCGCCTCTACTGCAAAATCCGCAGAAATTTGGGGCACTTGGCGGATCGATGTAAGAACCGATCACGCCCTCGCCAGACCAATCCGAGCACCTGGTCCGGCCGTCAAGACGCACGAGGCGACGTGCGTCCAGCCCAGGGGTATCAGCCCCCTCCCGCGCGCAACCTGAACCCCGCGGTTCAGCATCAGCAGCAGCAGCCGTCATCGACTGCCCCAGTTCGCAACGTCATGAGCAGCATGGCCATGACAGGCGAGTCGCGTCGTCGCCGCGTTCGCTCACCGTCACCTGAGCCGGCACCGCACCCGATTGGCGCGTTCACCAACAACAACATGTTCAGCCCGCGCCACGATTTCACCGACGACGACGACCAAGACTGGAATCTTCCAGTTCCGCTGCTTGAAAGTCCCCCGCATGTATCTGATATGCGGGTGGCGCCACGTGACTGGCTCTCGCGCGAACAGTTTTTGAAGTTCGACACTCCGCACATCGTCACGCCGCGACTGGCGCTGCTCGCACGTGACGACAACAAGCGCTACAACACCTGGTACCTGGACAGCTGCTGCGGCCAGCACATGGTGGGCTCCGAGCGTTACATATCCAACGCCGTCCCCACCCGTGCCGTCACGTACGTCACCGTGGCGAACAACACACGCCTGCGCGCAAGCGCGCAAGGCATCGTCGTGCTCAAAGCACGCGGGAGCCGCACGCACATCACGCTTAACGATGTGCTGATCGTCCAGAACCTGCGCTTCAACCTTCTGTCCGCCGCACAGCTCATGGATTGCGGCGTCGACCTCAGCACGGACCGCGCGACGCGAGATATCCTGCTGCACTATGAGGCTCGCAACTTCCCCCGACGACAGATCGGACGAGCGCACTCCGAAAATGGAGTGTACGTCCTGGATTTCGACATCCCCGACTGCAGCGGCGATTCGCACGAGCTGATTGACCTCGTGCCACTGCGCTTCGAGCACATCCACCGCAGGGACTGGAAGCACCCTGACGGCAGACCGTGGGTGCCGCATCATCCTCACCCACGCGAAACGGCGTTACACAACCCCGACCCCGACGGCATATGCAGGGATTGCCACACGCCGACGACCTCAACAAGCGCGATCGCCGGCCGCGGACTCGCCGCCATCGCTGAAGCAGAGCGTACCGCGCCTCCCGAGGAAGGGATGTCGCAGCTCGAGCTTGAAGTCGCTACTCACCGCGTGTTCGGCACCGATCAAAGTCCCCACGCTGGACCTCCCTCCCAGCGGCTCGACAACATCCTGCGCGGACAACGCCGCGGAAGCCTGGACTCACGAGGAGTCCCGCGCCCCTACACTCTCGAGGAATTCATGAAGGTCTACCCTCACTGGCGTGATCCCACGGCAAAACTCACCGTGGAGCAGGAGGAAGAACTGGCGCGCCGCGAAGCTGAGGAGCTTCGCCAGCAAAGTCTCACG